TATATATATATATATATATATATATAAAAGGTATGTGTGTGTGTTTGTGTGTGTGTGTTTGTGTGTGTGTGTGTGTTTGTGTGTATGTGTGTATGTGTATATATATATATAATATGTGTATATACATCTTTTGTAAGTCAATTAAAGAATATGCTAATGTATACAAACTTGTAAACTTTCTTCACAGAGTTATGCGTTTCTGAATGTCTTCTTAAATGAGACGAATTCGTATATGATTTTGTACATCCTGGATACACACATTTATAAGGTCTCTATCAAACAGAATTGTTGATTATCAAACATAAATTATCACATAATAAAATCACTTTTATGTTTATGTTTTATTACCTCTCCAGTATGAGATTTTGTGTGTCTTTCCAATCTGTTAGGTCGTAAAAATGTAGCACTGCAGTTAGGATAATTACATTTGTACTTTTTCTGGCTCTCTTTATTTTCAATATCAATGTCATGTTCAGTTTGACAATCGGATGTAATGTTATCGTTATCGTGATCCCCCATTTGACCCATTTTGATATCACTCCAGTATTTCAGTTAATTAATATCTTTTGAATCAAAAGAATATAAAACATTTAATAATCTATTATATATACAATGTATATGTAAACACTATATGTCCACTATTAAAACCTACAAAATTTATGAATTAAAGCTATTTAACAAGAAGCTATTTAACATAGTTAATTTTATTTACATTTCATACTCAATAATGGAACTTAAATTACATTTCACGTGTTTACATCCCATACATCAACGTGAGAAACATACTTTTACTTACCTTAGACTTTAATTGAAAATACGCAACATACAAAATAGAAACATCAAATATGAAATGAACATTTAAATTAATTAAAAAGGCATAATTTTTAAAAAACGTCGCTTTTATAATTTTGTCTTAATTAACTGATAAGTCATAGCTGATAAAACTTTAACTTGAACGTGCTCTTACAGGTTAGATAAGGTTAGAAAATCCACGCGTGGTATACCAGATATGCCGACATTTGCGCATGCGCAAGTCAATCGACTCGCCTTGCGCGATCGTGACGTAATATTTCAATTCAAAATGATCTTCCTTCACTTTGCTGTTTTCAAATTCGCAGTTATTCAATATTGTTATATTATCAGTTGTTAATTCACTCTTCTTTAGCGAAATTTCTTGGATTTCTTGTACAATATTTCTCCTTTTTCTCTCTAATAAGTATCATTATGTATCTATTTTATTTTAAGTAAAAAGTGGCCAATACAAATATATACTCTAACGAAAATAAAAATCGGAGTTAATCGGAGAAGAACAAAAATAATAATATAAATTTGATAATCATATTAACCGATATTAAGCGATTATTGATCGAATTTATATTATTTTTTTGTTATAATTCAGTCAGTATGACATTATTTTACTTTTCTTATTCGTGAATGATAGAAACACTAATGAAGCTTCAAGGATGCGAAAATGAGACAATGAAATACATAAAAAGGTATTTACTTTTTTTATATCTCATTATCGTAATTTTCGCTTACTAAAAGTTTATTATTTATACTTAATTTTGTTATTTTTTCCTATATGTTCGACTTACATTTCGATCTTTATTTTCTATAGTTATAAAGAATAAATCTATTAATAGTAAAAAATTCATTATTTGGTTTTAACAGAATTTTAGATTTTTTTGTATTTTCTCTCTTTTTTTTAAATGTATTTATTATAAACTTATTAATTTTATATGTATAGCTTGACACGTATATCAAATTATTTAAATAAAAGTTTAAAATTTTGTTGTAAACAATTTTTAATTAATTGCTAATTAAGTTACTCAAAGTCTGATTGTTCTATATAAATGTGCTTGAGAAACACTTAGCTTCTATTTGATCAAGATGACGAAGATTTGATTTTTCCTCGAAACGATAACAGGAAACGTCATGTCCGCTCTTCTTAGATACATACCGTAATAAATCACGATGCATATATGTTCGTGTTTAAACTAATCGGAATGCGCCTGCGGGAATTTAGGTCACCAAAGATCATGACTGTAATTGGGCCAAACATGTATCCTATGCTCCATCGATATTTTATAAAAGCACTTTTTTCTAAGGTTTACTCATTGCAATTATGACTCGATAAGATTATAAGGCAAATTATTGTCTGAAGTATAAATTTTTTAATTATCTAAAGTTTGGGATACATAGAATTTTTGTTTGTCTTCATGTTTCAGTTTTTAACGTGACATTTTTTTGTCTAGTTGAAGAGAAAAATAGAGAGGAGGAAGAGAGAGAGAGAGAGAGAGAGAGAGAGAGAGAGAGAGAGAGAGAGAGAGAAGAGAAAAAACAGAAATTCATTCTTTTATTCCATTTATTGACATATATTTATTCTTCTTATTTCATCCCACAGAACGTATTCCCGAAATATTAGACT